AGGATGTCGGATATGCAGAGATGTCAAATCTTTGGGAATACACACTGGACAAGGACTGAAACTGTCAACTGAATGGGGTGAGTGTGCAGTGTCTCATTTCGGTGTTGACAAGGGCAAACAACAAGCTAGCCTGAGAAAAAAAATCAAAGAACATAAAGAATCACAAGCCCATGTAAAAGCTGCTGACATCCTTACATCTGCTTCACGTGAAACTATTCAACATCAAGTGCAGTCTATGCATAAATCTGAATTAGACACCACTATCAGAGTTTTTCGAACGGCATATAAAATTGGCAAACATAGCCGGCCATTCACAGACATGCCAATTGATTTGAATGTACAGAAACTGAATGGGCTGAACGTGGGCAGGGTTTTGCACTCCAATAAAACCTGTGGCGAAATCATCGACCACATAGCTCATGAGCTGAAGAAAAAAATGGCAAAAGACATTACAGAAAACCAAAGAAAACTCTGTGTTTTGGTCGATGAATCTACCACTATTAGTGGTAAAACGGTGCTTGTTGTGTGTCTACGCTCAGCATTAGCTGATGCTGAGCCCGAAACGTTTTTTTGGGAGCTGATCGAGTTGGATGGAACAACGGCTGATGACATCACAAAGGCGTTAATGGAGTGTCTTGGAAGAGATTTTAACGAGGACTTTTTAGGTCAGTGTTTCGTTTCTTTTGCATGTGATGGGGCTTCAGTCATGCTAGGGAAGAGAACAGGCGTTGCTACCCAGTTGTGTAGTAAATTCCCAAGCCTGTTTGTGTGGCACTGCTCCAATCATCGTCTAGAGCTGGCAGTTGGGGATGTGGTCAAGGAGGTCTCAGGGCTCAATCATTTCCAGATCTTTTTTTGACAAACTCTATTCCTTGTTCCATGCCTCCCCCAAAAATCAGAGGCAGTTAGCGCAGTGTGCGCAAGCAGTCGGACAGCGTCTCCTGGTGATAGGGCGTGTTTTGTCCATCCGCTGGGTGGCTTCAAGTGAAAGGAGCGTCAGAGCAGTCTGGGAAAACTACCGAGTGCTTCATGATCACTTCACAAATGCTGCAAACGACACGAGCAGGGATTCCAGAGACAGAGCAAAGTACAAGGGCCTGGATGATGTGCTCACATCTGCAACGTTTGTCAGCAATCTGGGACTGATGTACGATGCGCTCACAGAGCTCAGCGACCTCTCTCGGCAACTCCAAAAAGAGAGATGACACTGCCTACAGCAGATAGGCTCTTAACTCGAGAAATACGAGTTTTTGAATCCATGGTCACCATGCCTGGCCCACACATGACTACAGTTCATACAGCTCTAGCTGAGAAGTCCTTCAAGGGTGTTGCCCTGCGTGAGAATGGCAGGCTTGTACAGATTCATGCAGGTCAGTTTTTCCGCAGTATGGTAGAGAATCTGAGACACAGAATGACTTCCACAACCTCCTCTCATGTCAGCACAAGAGAAATCCCATTACATGGCCGGGAGGCCCGGGACAATCAGCTAATCCAGGACATGAAAGTTATCCATCCTGGAAGTTGGCCTGAAGAGGAGTTAGACATACAGTATGGGGACGTAGAGGTGCTACGTTTGTGCGAAGTGCTGAAAGTGGACAGAAGAGAGACTGTTCAGGGCTTTCGCGAATACAAGGAAACCAGGGCATCCCGTACACCTGCTGCCATGGAGCCTCTACTGAAAGCAGTCCGAACCATCGCTGTCTCCACTAGTGAGTGTGAGCGGGCATTCAGCTGCATGAACGATATCCTTACTGCAAAAAGGAATGCTCTCTCTGTCAGCCGACTGTCCAGCCTGGTTTTCATTCAATGTAATGGACCATCACTAGGACAGTTCAATCCGGAACAGTATGTGAGGTCCTGGCTGGCAAAGGGAAGGAGAAGTGCTGATGAAAGAGCCTGTCCAGCTCCAGCCCCTGATACTGATGTCCCCAAGGCCTTCTGGAGCCTTTTCTAACAATGTGAAGTATATTGCAAAGCAGCTCACCCAGTGAGAAGACTTTTGGCATAATGTGCCAATTTGTACAGATCCTGGAGATAGAAGGACTTCAGACCAACCAGGGAGTTATCTGATCAGCTTGGTGTTCAATGTAACTCTTTACCATGGCTCAGACTTTGTTACTTGAAGTTACAGTTTCTCATTTTAGATTGTGCAAATTCTGCATTTGTTTTTACATGTTCTTTGTTCATGCTCTTTATCATTTTTCTGAGTTGGAAAGTTAGATTGCATCATAGTTTACTTTATACATATTTGTATTCTTCAGTGGTGAAGTATATTGCAAAGCAGCTCAGCCATGTGAGAAGACTTTTGGCACTTTTTCGTTTTTCGTTTTCTGAGTTGGAAAGTTAGATTGCATTCAAAATGTACAGAAATACTTAATTTTGTTAAAGCTTTTTATAAAAAATGCTTCTGACCAGAGCTTTGTTTCCTTGTCATTAATGTTGAACACCACCAGAGGGGCTCTCACCTGAAAGGTCTCTGCTTCATGTGTCTTCAGCAGAAGATCTAGACTTTGATTGCTATATTTTCAGTTAATATTGACCTTACTGAGCTTTAGCCATATCCGCTGCCTATCATAACAAATGTTAAGTACAGTGAACCTTTCTAAAATATACAGTAGTAAAGAGACAAACCCACCAGCTTTATAGTAGCCAAATTCTTGTTTGTGGGCTGTATATATAAAATTGACTTGAAAAAGTTGCTGATTTTAGAGTACTGGCACCTTTTTCATTCCAATTCAAGCACTGACCAGAACCCACCGTCCGCCACATATTCCAACGTTGGCTGAATCTTTTGTAAATAGCTGTGAGTTTATCGTAATATTTGCAGAATTATAAATATATAAAAATATGTTATCATAATATTTTTTTCAAAAAGTGTTTAATTTTTGCACCTTTAGCCATACCAGTCATATTATTTCATCCAGTAGCCTAGTTAATCTTTCACCAGAAAACCGTTGAAAATGGCTTTTATGATGTTCCGAGGGATTCGGCGGCTCAGCCTGTCTCAGCCTCTTGTGCGCACGAGAAAGTTACCGGTGCGCCAAGTAGGAAGAGGAGCGCACAGGAGACAACCGTTTAATTGCAGACTGTTATGTTGATGTGGGGAAATGGCAGTCATGCATACATTATTTGAGATATATTTCAAACTCTGACTTCATTTTAAGGACATATCGGCCAGGGGTGTAGAGCTAGTTGTTTAAGAACGGATTGGCAAAACAGGAGAGTAAACCAGTCTGCCTTGATCTATGAATTCATGTCCGGGACTCTCACGGTATCTGCTGCCCGCAGCTGTTTTATAGAAGGAAAACCTCCTTCACTTCATGAAATGGCTGCAGCATCAGGAAGCAGCGGGACGTGTAACTCCGCCTTTGAGAAGTGCAGCACCAGCGGGTAAAGAGCTGTGCCTTTTTACGCACCGGCTTCGCTGTGTTTACCTTCATCAGAACAGTTTAAGAGTGACTGCAGGCTGCTGTGTTAATCACACACACATCGAACTGCCCGAATACTCCCCCTTTTATTCGTTTTATGAAGGAGATGTCGAGTCACCAAGGCGCATGGTGGTGTGTGTGTGTGTGTGTGTGTGTGTGTGTGTGTGTGTGTGTGTGTGTGTGTGTGTGTGTGTGTGTGTGTGTGTGTGTGTGTGTGTGTGTGTGTGTGTGCGTGTGTGTGTGCTCTGCTCTGCTCTGCTCTGTGTGTTCGGTGTGCTTGTGTCTGTCCGACACCGGCATTTGTTTTCAAATGACCATGAACAGTAATTTACACACATCTGGCTAACTCCAGGTAACCTAGGCCTATGTGGGTGTTCCCAAAAGAAGTTAGTTTAATCTTAATCTCGATGTAGTGCTAAATGCTATAGGAGTGCATCGGAACGAACGTCACTATCATAATATCTTCTGAAAACAAATGCCAGTGACACACACACGCATGCACGCACACACACACACACCCTGGCGACCGGACATCTCCTTCATAATGCGCCTTCTCCTCGTTTTCCCAGCATTCACTGGATTATCCGTAAATCATACAAACAAAACCAAAACGTTGATTTATCTGTTTTCCCGTTTTGGTTTTAAAAACTGAATAACGTCGGTTTTCCGTTCTTCCGAAAAAACGACACCGGTTCTTTTTTAAACGTTGTTAATATGTTTTGGATGCATATTGTTCTGGTATTTGTTCAGGCTGTTACATACAATTAGCCTCTGTTGCTACCTGCTGGTGGTGAGTAAATATTAAAAACAATTCAAATTGACAACCGGTCCGCGATTTTTTTTAATGTATCTGCCGGTCCTTGGCACAATAAAGGTTGGGAACCCCTGATGTAAGGGACAGAGCTGTGGGGAGGTATAGGCCCGGGTTTGGTTACACAAACTTTGAAAATCCCATTATTTCACATGGATAGAATATGCTACCACACGAAACCTGCCAACAGAGGGCCCCAGCAAAACTCACAGACTGTGCAAGCAGGGCAAAGGAGCTGGTCAGCATCACAATGGAGATCAGTGAATGTGTCCATGAGACCACTTTAAGCCATTCACTGAACAGACCTCACTTGGATTTCACCAAGAGACATTTGGAACAGAGCACTCTGGTCAGATGAGATCAATATTACAATCTTCATTTTGAGTGAATTGTTAAGAAAAAGGGTTCATGGTGCAACCTTAAACCGGCTCCCTGTTGCCAATAACAAAACAAGTCATTCATATTCTGGGAAAATACAGTAATACATTTAAAACATGTAGATGCTAACTTTTAACAAGGATACAAAACACATTATGCATGTCCTGATGTGATTCCCATGTATTTATTTGTATGTCCCTTGTGCATTTGAGTTTGACACACCTGATAAAAGCTTTCCCCTGGGATCATGTGGGATGGGCAGCATGGGCTCCATTCACGGCTCCATCCCTCCAGGTGAGGATCGGATGGAGGGGGTGTTACTCTCATGGCCGCCGGGGGCGCTGTGCCCTCTGCAGCGCCCTCCCTTCACCTGCTATTCTTCTTCACACTCAGCGCAGTTAGTGGTCTTTGACTTTGAAACATGGCTGCCTTTAGGGAAACACCATAATACTGGCGTCTACAATGTTCCTTCTACCTTCTTCATCATATATTTCTCACAAGGGCGGTCGTGTATTAGTTTGACCAGACATGTCGGATAAAGAAGCCGGTATGGGGAAGGAGAGTCCCGGGGAGAAGGGTTACAGGACCCCCGGGCTGAGGGGCACGCAGACCACCACCATGTTCCGAGTCTTCAACCCCGAACTGTTCATCAAGCCGGTGAGTCCGTGGATGTATTAGGAGAACATTAAGAGAACACAGAACTTGATTTATTAATAGTACATGACGCTAACACCGTCCTGCTGGTAAATTAGCATACATGAGCAGTTAGCTTCTGCGTAGCAAGCTTAACATGGAGTCTGAAGGGAATTTACTTAAATATCCCATTCTTTAAATGGTAGTTTCAATTAAATGTTCTTTTAAGGTTATGTTTTTAAACGGGTCTTTTTCAATGTCTTACTCAGTGTCACTTGTTGTGTCCTTATTATGTTGCCAGTTTGGAGATAAGTCAAATACAAACAGTGTATTACACCCACAACTTGCAGTGTAACATTATGTGGTCAAATACCGGAAAATACAAGCTTCTTTGTAGACATGTTTGCAAAGTTCAGCCTTTATCTAGAAAATGTAAAACCTATACATATATAGGATACACTGTTATAGTAAGCATATATATATTATTCTTTTAATCCTCGATATATAAATGACAGTTTATGAGGATCCTTTAAACCCTGCTCTGTAACATGCAGCCTGTTGTTCTGCAGAACAAACCGGTGATGGCGTTTGGACTGGTGAGCATCACGCTGTGTGTGGGGTACCTGGGATACATGCACGCCATGAAGGAGAACGACCAGCAGCTGTACGAGGTCATCGACAGCGAGGGAGAGAAGTACATGAGGAGGAAGACTTCCAAATGGGACTGACAACAAATGATCAATGTGTGTGTGTGTGTGTGTGTGTGTGTGTGTGTGTGTGTGTGTGTGTGTGTGTGTGTGTGTGTGTGTGTGTGTGTGTGTGTGTGTGTGTGTGTGTGTGTGTGTGTGTGGTGTGTGTGTGTGTGTGTGTGTGTGTGTGTGTGTGTGTGTGTGTGTGTGTGTGTGTGTGTGTGTGTGTACTATGAGAAGAACATTGTAAATTAAACTGGATTCAAACAAGGATATTCTCTAAATACATTCATTTACCTCTCCAAGACAACACTGTTTCAATAAGAATCGGGCATGATGATCACTATTATGAACATACTTTTGTTTTGGACTGTTGCTCAGAGAAAACAAGATATTTAAAGTAACCTTGAGCTCTGGGTTCTTGTCAAAGATAATTTGTATATATATTAAGACATTTATTTATTGATTAATCCCAAATAATATTGATAACGGAATGCAAAACCACAAATATATTTTGCCCTAAAGGGACCTACAGTATATAGCATCCCATTATCGCTCCAACCAACTGAGCAGAACCCAAAACACTTCTTGGCTCATGGTCAGCTATGTGACGTTTCTACACCTGAAACTGTCAAAGTGCTGTTTGTTATTTACACACAAAATAATGAAGAGCTCCAATGGGGAGAGGAAAACACAAATAAAACAAGAGAATATTTTTATTTCATTTAAAAAAACATTGCTATATGAAAATGAAAAATTGCAATCAAACTAAAAAATTACCTCATATCATTTTGAGTATTGTTTATAGTAAAAAGCAAAGATTAAAATAGTTTGTTATTCACTTCTTATTGTTCTTTGAAGTGTCCCAACACACTATGTATGAGTGACACTATAGTACTCTGCTTATAAGATAGGGTTAGATCAGGAAGATATGATCAGGTGTCGGATCATCAACAGAAATGAGAGACAAAAGAAAGGGAAAGTAGGAGCACACAAGGATAATGTGAAATATCCACAGTATAAAAGTATCATTTAAAATGACAAGAGTACGATTATGTAAATCCGTTGACAGAGAACAATATGAATAAGTATGAGCATGGTAAATATATACATCTATGTCCAACTGGAAGTCCAAAGGAGGTTCATTTGTTGAAAGTCTTAGTTACATACAATGCATATTTTTGACTAGTGTGAAGGATAGCAAATATAAAGATTTTTTTTTAAAATCACATTTGTTCAATTCTGCAATTATCCACCTGAATCAATGACCACGCAATGAAACCCCTTTTACAGACCTAAGCTACATTACATGTGTTGGGTTGTTATTCACATTGGAGGTTGCACTGTAGAGCTGAAATCACCAGATTCAACACAAAGTTATGGTATGTTTATGTATTTGATGTTTTATTAAACAACATAAATATTCCCAGTACAGCTGAAAATGCAACGTGTTCTGCTGAGGCACAGATGTGAGCTCAGAGGAGAATGTCAGTGCTGATCCATTATCTGGTTTTCTCATCCTGCAGAGACAAGGTGTATTTGTTGGCAAAAAGTCATTCAAGTAGCCTTTCATAGCAAAACTTAATGTAAACAATGCTTTGGTTTTTGTGCATGTAAGTCAGTGTATGACAATAACTAAACTGCATTTAATTTTCCTGAAGTGGAACATGGTAACTACTGCTAACTCAGCTTGTGCCTCTGATAACTTGAGATCCAGCAACGATGACTAAAATCCTTCATCAGGTTGAGGTCAAAATGTGGCTTCAAACAAACTCATTATGTGTCAGCTTCTGGCAGATAAGTTCCCACGTCAAAGGGGACAAACTCCATCACAGGAAGGCAGAGGAATCCCACCTTTACCCGGACTACAATTCAACATTTCTATTGGTTTGAAAATGTTATGAAACATTTGGGATAATGTAACTCCACAACTCCAACATAGGTGGGTCATTTCAATGCAGAAATGTAACATAGTTTGTTTGCCAGCTCATAGGGTCCTATTGTGAACCTGGAAATGTTGAGGACCCCAAAGTGTTATGTTAGAAATGTATAGTCCTTGCACATAGAAACTGCTGGGTGCTAACTTGCATATGTTGGTACATTTGCTTAATTAGCATTCATTGGCATATGTAGACAATAGCTAAACATGGCTTGGCCGATTTGGACAATTTTTGAGTGGTTTGGGGGATTATTGAGAATGCTTAATCAATTTCTGCCATTTTCAGGACACTTACAATGGACAACATTTTTTTCCATAAAAATCAGCCCAACGGGAGTAGAAACATTCTGCCTCTTTCTGGTTTAAACTGCAATTTTTGATCCTGAAAATGTCAGAATTGGACTCAGCATCCTTACGAACCCCGAAAACCCAACCTAGTTAGCATCCAGAAGTTTCTATGTGCCGGGGACCCCTACTATATATTTCTACGGGGGTACCATTTCCAGGTTCACAGTGCTGGCAAGTAGACTATATACTACGTTTGGGCTATTTAAATTAACTAGTTCGTAGCCATCAATTGAGTTCATTTAAGTTGAGTTAGCTTCATTTGATTATCATTTTGAGAAAATAATCCAGATATGCCCAGGACCCCCTTAAACAGAGGTGAAAGTGTACCTTGATGACGTTGGCCAGCTCCTGCAGCGTCTGTTCGTAGCGCGCCTCCATCCCCTTCAGGCTCTCAGGTTTGACGATCTGCTTCTGAATCCCGGGCGTTCCTGCCTCCACCACCATCTGCAGGAAGTTCTTCTCCTAAGGGGAAAACACAGCACTCTGTCTCATATCCCGTTTATGCTCTTCACAATCAGAATACCTTTTATTTAGTGTAAGTAGGTTTACACATACGAGACATTTGCTTTGGTATGAGTGATGCATTCAAAGACACAGTAAGAAGTATACGTATGTAGTATATTTTTGCCTCACTTATCTATATTGAATCATGTTTTCTTCAAATGTTTGGGATATAGTGATAATAGGGAAGGTAAAGATAATTAGATGGTCACATACAACATATGATCATTTAAAGAGTACCTGTACTCCCAGCAGGAAGGTGAAGGCCAGGCCCGTTTTCCCTGCTCTGGCTGTCCTTCCAATCCTGAACAGAAACAAAGAAGCCAAGTCACAGAGAGAATAAGCCACATCTGGAGGATATTCTTCACTAAACATCCTTTGTACTCCTTATAGTACCTGCGGTTATACACACACAGGTCAGTTTGATGGACAGCTCACCTGTGGATGTATGTCCGGATGTACTGCGGTGCGTCATAGTTCACCACACATTTGACCCCGTTGATGTCGATGCCTCTGGCGGCTGCGTCTGTGCTGATCATCCTGCAGGACGCACGTTAGCTTCATTATTGCTCCTTAAATCATTAAAGCTTACACTGCAGGAATTCATGCAGTGGCCAGGCCAAGTTAAAAATACAAATACAACAAATATACATATTATGCTGTCGCACCTCTGTTTTTTTAACTTGTTCCCTAGTATTTATTGATACTCTTTAGTCTCCTTTAGACAGAGATGGCAAAAGTACACACATCCTTTACTCAAGTAGAAGTACAGATACTCGTGTTTAAAAATACTCTGGTGAAAGTAGAAGTACTGACTAAACTTCTTTACTCAAGTAAAAGTAAAGAAGTATGGGCTTTGAAATGTACTTCAGTAAAAAGTACCCATAACTAGCAGCTGTTTTAAAGAGTACCTGACCTGAATAGAACAATAATGTCATTGTTAGCTAATGAATGTTTCCATGCTGAACAACGGCAACATGACAACGTTTTCATTAGTCCCTCTTCTTTAGAGAAGACCAGGAAATGATGGATACACGGATCGTGTTCAAATCAATAGGCACGCAATGACTCTAAAGAATAATGATCACGCATCAAACACACATTCAGACTAAAGGAACCAGCTGTTTGGAAAATGAGAGAAGTAGAAAGTACAGGTATTTGAGTTCAACATGTAAGAAGTAGAAAGTACAGGTATTTGAGTTCAACATGTAAGAAGTAGAAAGTACAGGTATTTGTGTTCAACATGTAAGAAGTAGAAAGTACAGGTATTTGTGTTCAACATGTAAGAAGTAGAAAGTACAGGTATTTGAGTTCAACATGTAAGAAGTAGAAAGTACAGGTATTTGAGTTCAACATGTAAGAAGTAGAAAGTACAGGTATTTGAGTTCAACATGTAAGAAGTAGAAAGTACAGGTATTTGTGTTCAACATGTAAGAAGTAGAAAGTACAGGTATTTGAGTTCAACATGTGAGAAGTAGAAAGTACAGGTATTTGTGTTCAACATGTAAGAAGTAGAAAGTACAGGTATTTGTGTTCAACATGTAAGAAGTAGAAAGTACAGGTATTTGTGTTCAACATGTAAGAAGTAGAAAGTACAGGTATTTGAGTTCAACATGTGAGAAGTAGAAAGTACAGGTATTTGTGTTCAACATGTAAGAAGTAGAAAGTACAGGTATTTGAGTTCAACATGTAAGAAGTAGAAAGTACAGGTATTTGTGTTCAACATGTAAGAAGTAGAAAGTACAGGTATTTGAGTTCAACATGTAAGAAGTAGAAAGTACAGGTATTTGAGTTCAACATGTAAGAAGTAGAAAGTACAGGTATTTGTGTTCAACATGTAAGAAGTAGAAAGTACAGGTATTTGTGTTCAACATGTGAGAAGTAGAAAGTACAGGTATTTGTGTTCAACATGTAAGAAGTAGAAAGTACAGGTATTTGAGTTCAACATGTAAGAAGTAGAAAGTACAGGTATTTGTGTTCAACATGTAAGAAGTAGAAAGTACAGGTATTTGAGTTCAACATGTAAGAAGTAGAAAGTACAGGTATTTGTGTTCAACATGTAAGAAGTAGAAAGTACAGGTATTTGTGTTCAACATGTAAGAAGTAGAAAGTACAGGTATTTGAGTTCAACATGTAAGAAGTAGAAAGTACAGGTATTTGAGTTCAACATGTAAGAAGTAGAAAGTACAGGTATTTGTGTTCAACATGTAAGAAGTAGAAAGTACAGGTATTTGAGTTCAACATGTAAGAAGTAGAAAGTACAGGTATTTGTGTTCAACATGTAAGAAGTAGAAAGTACAGGTATTTGAGTTCAACATGTAAGAAGTAGAAAGTACAGGTATTTGTGTTCAACATGTAAGAAGTAGAAAGTACAGGTATTTGTGTTCAACATGTAAGAAGTAGAAAGTACAGGTATTTGAGTTCAACATGTAAGAAGTAGAAAGTACAGGTATTTGAGTTCAACATGTAAGAAGTAGAAAGTA